ATATCTTGAAGTGGTGAAAGAGGTTGTAAGACAGGTGTGATGTTTACTGAGTGGAACGCAAGTTCATTTTCAGATGGTGAGATTGCTAGTTCTTCTATAATGTTGCACAGGAAGTACTTGGAGTTGAGTGAGATTTTATTAATTGTCCAGAGTAAGGAGGCGTTGGTACTCGAGAAAGTTAGTGAGCAAGAGTTATTGGAAGGTCGGCCTAAGGGACAACCGTGACACTTGATAAGATTGATAAACAATATATTATTTATAATTAATAAAGAAAAACTTTATTAGAAATAATTAGATAACTTTATTATTTTTCAAAGAACAAAAATTTTTTTATATAGATATTGTTGCTATATAAATAAATAAAGTAATAATATATAATTGAATATAATATATATAATCTTATTGATTCTTTAGAGATTATATATATATAATAAAAGATAAAATTAAACTAAAAAAATAAAAAATAAATGATTTTTTTTTTGTATTAACCAATTGGGCCTTGCCTAAATACGATTTATTTTATTTATATATGTATTTCATGTATTACAAATACTACTATCTATAAACAATTCTACATGTCACTAAACTATGTTGATTTTACTCCATATCAGTTTGTTGCTGTTTGCATTACTCCAGAAGGATTAAGTTAAGGTTAATATGCCAAAGCCCTGTTAATATTACTATTATATAGTCGTTATATTTTATTTGGCACTGTGAGAATTTTTAAAAAGAAGTTTTAAATCTGGGGAACTGGAAATAGTACCTATATTTGGTGAATAGAATACTAATTTGAAGAAACCTTATAAATCTCATATCATATTATCTCCTAAGCCACCTAGACAATTAGATACTTATGCTAACTAATTGTTCATAACATTGTTCTCATTGCAACTATCCAACTTAAAGAGACAACTGTTGAAGTAATCTGAGATAAGATTTTCATAGTAACTTCTTATAAAAAAAGACACTAGGTACTACATAAAGTGAATTATCAAGTCACCATTATGCAAAAACAAATATATTCAACATCTTTCTTTTTCATCTTTTGGTGATTATTGTAACATTAACCAGATGATCATTACATCATGCCACTTTTTATGGCTAGATCATAATTTCAATGTCTATTGGATTAGTATGTAAATCAGCTTCTCATGAGAAACAGCATATAACAAGTTATAGTACCAGATATTATATTAATTCTATTCAATTACCTTTACCTGGGGTTGAACTGGTATCTTGTGATTTGATCTGTAGAGCACTAACCATTGTACTATGGATCCACGGGTTTCTAAAAAACAAAAACAAATATTAATTAATATAATTAATTAATATAATATTAAACTATTTTTAAAAATATTTTTTATAATTTAAATAAGTTAAATAATATTGATAACAAAAATTCTATTAATATTTTACTAAATATTAATGATAATTTCATATTTAATTTTAACCTTGAATATTACATGTTATAAAATATATTTTCTTGAATATTTTATTTTCAAAAGTTTTAAAGAAATATTATTTGAATTAGACCTATGGGTCTATAGCTCAGTGGTAAAGCTCCATAGGTCACCAGGTGAAGGTCTAGGGTTTAACCCCACCTGGTTACAAAAAATTTATCACCTTCATGATTGGTTGACCGGCTTCCAATTCATGTCGTACCCAATCAG